CTTGAACATGCGGGGAGAACACGATGCCACACATTCTCCAACAGGGATCTGCTTCTCCCTGTATAAAAACTCGGAAGCAGGGACACGGGTAGAGGTCACGAGAACCGGAAAGACCGGTCTGGAAGGGTATTGTGACCACGACAGGGATCCGTCTCACCCTGTATAAACAATCGGAGAACGGCCCGCGGCCGGAGACATCTTGCAGCATGGCAAAATGTTTCCGAACTTCTAGCGTGGCTTGACCGGTGGTTTGGGCTTGCTTACCCCTGTGTTGTTGTCGGTCCTCGGTCGCGCCGGTGGTTTGGTGGAACCACCGGAGGCGCCCGGGATCGCTGGCTCTCCATCTCTTACCTCGCCGGGGGGTGGAGGTCTCGCCGTGTGCCGGGGACACCGCGCAGGAGGCGCACGGTGGTGTCGGGGGCACACGACGGGTGACGCACGGGACATGGGCGGTCTGGCCATCAATACAGGCGTCCGCTGAGTGAGAGCACTGCATCGTTTCACTATAAACTACCGTGATGCAGCACGCGTGCGCCTACCATATCCCTGGAAACGTGTTCCGGGGATTGAGATAGTGTATGCTAGGGTCTCCTCTCGGTGTAGGAAAATAGGGGGAGACATCGGGATGGAGGCCTCTTTCTATAGATGGAGATGAGGCCTGTATCACTTTTTCCCGGCCGATTTCCTTCCACCTTGTCGTGGTGGCCGGGCTTGGGAGCGGTGAAGGGAAGGGGCTACACTGGCGGGGACTCCGTTGAGTCCCTGGCAGGATCACCCTTGCCAAGAAGGCCCTTCCCCGAGCTCCCGTACTAAGAGAGGGAATAGAGGAAGGAAAACCTCGAACAAAAACCTGGAGTTCCGAGCTTCGTTAGCCCTTGATGCCGGAGCAACTGGGATAGAGGAGACAACCTTGACTTCAAGTCCGGGGACGTCCGACCCCGTCAGCCACGGTGCAATCGGACTAGGGGAGTAAACCCTGAATTCAAATCCAGGCAGGCCGGGCTTGTTAGGCTTGTATGTCAACCGGTCTAGGAAAAGATCACTCCGAAATTAAATCCCCTTAAAATCATTATGATGGACAGTACACAGGAGATACTTTTACCGGACCAGGGTGACCGGACACCCAGGTCCCGGCAGTTCGGTGGTCAAGGCCCTGCCCCCGTATCATACGAGGGGTTGGCAGGATCGTGCGACGCAGGCGATCCTGTCTCCAATGCTTCTGCGGATAGCGATCTTGGGAGGTTTTGGTACCTGGTGCTTCCGGAAGATGACGCTATGAATGCCAGCCAGGGCTCCGAAAAGGGCAGTCGCGGCGCGACACAGGAGGCGCTTGCTGCTCCTCTTATGGTGGACTCGTCGACAGATGAGGATGCTCGCTTAAGGGCGGCCGATATTATGAGGAGCCGATTCTTGCTATCCCCTTCTCCGACTACATCCGGAGTTGGGCAAAACAAGGCGGGCAAAAAGATAAAACGCGGCAAGGCATCTAAGGCCGCGACAGGAGGCTCCAGCGCGATCATCTCGATTTCGGATGACGACAACATGGAGAGCAAAGCGGATTCGCCAGGCCCCTCGCGGAGAGAGCGACGGCGCAGAAGAGAAAAGCAGCAGAATACCGTTGCCAAAGAGCTGCCCAGTTTTGCCATAAACGCGCGCAAGCGGAAAATCGCGCGCCTTGGCAGTAGCAAATCGGAGGGCCTTCTATTTGCATTTGAGCAGGAGATGGACTCCGAATGGTATTCCAAGCCAGCTCAGAATATCGTGGTTGTGATGCAGGCCAAGGCGGAAAAATTTAAAAACCAGATACGCAGGTGCGGCAACCTCAAAGGCAGTTTCCAGCGAGACTTTAATGCCTTCGCGAACGAGGTCGTTAGTGCTGTTGAAGCGCTGCATATAAATGCGCAGAGGAAGCAGGTGACAGTACTCTACAAATGCGCATCTATGCGGCTGAGAATGTGACGGGACAACCCGTCACCGCATATACATATATACATATACATAATTATTTTGAATAAAAGGTATTGTAAACGGAAGTAATAGGTTTATTACCAGTCCACAAGTAGCCGTTAGACCGCACCGAAAGTGCTACAACATGTGCACTTTGTCCCGACTCATGGGAACGCGCCCTAAATCTAGGGACCGCAAGCGCCGCGACCGCAAATCGTACCGCGCCGGCGCAGAGCCCCACTCGCGGGCTTGTGCGCACCGCCCACCGCGCCCCGGACCGAGCTCGGGCCGTCGCCGGGTATATAACGCGAGCGAAACCGGCTCCGACCACCATTCCTTTCCCATCCTGCTCTCTGAGGTGTTGACTCGGAAGCGCTCCCAGGTCTCCGAGGTGCTGACTCAGAACCGACAACTTACCTTCGAGGCGCTGACTCGAAGTATTCCGCTTTCCGATCTTCGAGGTGCTGACTTGGAATAAAAACTCCTTCTTCCCGAGGTGCTGACTCGGGAAGACACCCGTGCCCCGATATTACCCGCTCGAGGAGCTGACTCGAGCCAGCGACGTCTCCCCCGAGGTGTTTGACTCGGAAAACCCGATCCTTCCTTCCCGAGGTGTTGACTCAGGGGGAATCCTGACCGTTACCTCCCGAGGTGTTGACTCGGGCAGCCCATCCTAGCCTCTCCGAGGTGCTGACTCGGAAGGTTCCCGCACCGACCGTGCCCGGGGCATTGGCCCAGGTACACCGACCGTCCCCTCGGCCGTTCTCACGGCCCGCCGAAAGCCGTTTTCACGGCTCATCGAAACCGCCGTTCTCACGGCGCACCGAAACCGCCGTTCTCACGGCGTACCCGGACATCTCTCGCTACTTCGTAGCCGCCCTGACCCGCCGACCGCGTGCACCACGTTGTGCCACGACCCTACGCGCCCGCGCACCGCGTCTCCGACGCCGACCCGCGTAACCGCGTCCCCGTAACCGAATACCCCTCGCTGTATATACTCGCGTCCCTCCTGTCTTAGCAAGTAAGTTTCCGTCCCGTTCCCGCATTGGCCAAGACCGATAAGCGACCGTACGTCCGCGCCAATCACAGACCGCGAACCGTTAACTTGTAAGGGCTTCGAGCCCCGCGTCGGCTTGGTATTGTAACTATGTTCCCTCTTAGTCAGTAAGATTCTGTTTCGTAACCGCGTCGGCAGAGACCGACCCGCGACCGTACGCGCGCACCAATTACGGGCCGCGAACCGTTCATCCGCCAAGGCCTCGAGCCCCGCGTTATCCCGGCATTATATATGCCTTCTTAGCAAGTAAGTTCCCGTCCCGTTTCCGCGCCAGCCGCAACCGACTAGCGATAGTAAGCGCGCACCAATCACAGGCCGCGGAACCGCCGGACCGTAAGGGCTCCGAGCCCACGTCACTAAGACATTGTACATAACGTAGTTTTCAGAATATATTATTATTGAGTTACAGCAGCAAACCGAACGTGTCGCAATCTCTTCCTTCCCCTCACCCGAATCCTGGTCTGACCGAGCTGTCCGGCAGGCGGAAGGCCGGGCGAGCCGCGCATAACACGGCGGCTCCGTTACAAGAACGATGCGGAGCAGGCGAAAACCAGGCTTCGCCATCTGGAGGAAGAGCACAACCGGCTCCTGGAAGAGGTGCACCATTTGCGCTCAGACGTGCAAGTCGCCGCGCTCTTTCTTCCACCTCAGAGGCCGATGGGCAGGGAGATGGCAATCCAAACGGATCCCTCCTCTGTCATCACATTCATCACGGCTCTCCCACCGGGGACCATTATCCCCCCGGCGGTGAGACCCAAGGTGCAAGGGACCGCCAGGGTCATCGACGGACCAAGGGTTGTGCGGGAGGAAGGCAACATGGATCTTCGAACCACCGTGAAATCCATAGTTGCAGATGAAATAAAGAAGATGAAGGCCCTCTTGAGCAAGATCCTCCGTGACGCGTCGGAGGACGGAAGGGAGAAGAGGAGGAAGGCGCTGAAGCGCAGCCACCGTCACCGATGGCGGGGCCATCGACGGGCGATCCAATCCCTTGGGTGGCCTTGCCCCAGCGCGAGACAGGAAGGAGAAGAGGCGCGAGAACCACGCCGGCTCTGACGGGTAACCCGCCAGGGGGGTGCTTCCATCCTGCAGCCAAGCGTAGATCCCTCCACCTCGAAAAGAAAGGGAGAGGAATGGGCAATTGTTACACGCCGCCGCGCCAAAGCGCAGAATAAGGAGGGGCAGATGCGCAAAAAAGAGGACAACACCGTCCAAACCGCGCGAGCCCCGGTCAGTAGACGGGCTTTTGGTGGAGGCCTTCGAGCATCCGCCTCGGGACCCTCACAGCGTCAGCCGTCGAGAGGACGGCAACCACCACAAGGGCACGTGTCGCCGGCGAAGAGGTCGTCCGGCGGCGGTGGCCATCCGGAGTGCACAGGCGGAAGGAGAGGGTGAGCAGGCGTCTTACGCTAATATTATGAGGCTCGCCAAGGAGAAAGTCTCTCTTCCTGACTTGGGAATCAAAGATACCCGCATCAGGCAAGAGGTATCCTTGTCGAGATCCCCGGAGTTGATGGGGCAGCCAAGGCGGACGCTCTGGCTGAGGCACTTGCCCCGATTCTCCGGGGAAAAGCCAACGTCACCAGGCCGATTCGGCGAGGAGAAGTAAGAATCGTCGGCCTTGATGTTTCGATCTCGCCGGCCAACATCCAGGAGCGGATTGCATCGGGCGACTTTGGAACGTGCCGTCGTCCCGATGTAACGGTGGGCCCGATCACTCAGGGCCGGGATCGTCTCGGGATGACTTGGGCCCGCTGCCCATACGAGGTGGCCGCCAAGCTGGCCGGCTCGGGCCGCCTTCGTGTGGGCTGGTCCAGCGCGCGAATGGCACTCCTGCCGGGCCGCAAACTCCAGTGCTTCAGATGCCTGGAATTTGGCCATGTCCGGCAGGCGTGCAGAAACGAGGTGGACCGCAGCGGTACTTGTGCCCCTCCCAAAGGGAGCAACGGCGCCGTACGGAGGACGGCGGACCATGGCGAGGCCATGGAAATAGAACATGGACCGGGTTCTACAAATTAATGTGAACCATAGCGGTCCAGCGCAGGCCCTGGCACTCCAGGTTCTGCGGAAAGAGAGGGCAGGAGTCCTGGCCATTGCGGAGCCACATAGAGTCCCGGACTCCCCGGCTTGGGCCGGGGACTTGGACAACAGGGCGGCAGTTACGTGGTTCACCCGTCCGGGCAACCGACCCATGCGCGGAGTCCTCGAAAGAGGCCACGGATTTGTGGCGGTTCGTTGGGGGCGGGTAGCTCTTTTTGCCTGCTATTTCCCACCGAGCATGTACGCGGTCGACTTCCGCGAGGGGCTAGGGGCCTTCGCGGACAGCATCCGATGGGTGGGAGGAGATTCGGTGCTGGTACTTGGCGACTTTAATGCCAAGTCCAGTACCTGGGGTTGTCCTCGCACAGATAGAAGAAGCCACGAGGTCGATAGGTGGGCGGTCGAGCTTGGCCTGTACGTTTTAAACGCGGGTCGGGCTCCGACATGTGTGCGCCCCCAGGGGACGTCCATTGTCGACCTCTCCTGGGGCTCCGCGAGTGTCTTGCCGCTGGTGCGAGGATGGCGAGTGCTCGCTAGGAGCGAGTCCCTCTCCGACTACCGCTACATCACCTTCGGGGTGGCCGGTGGTCGGGGGGGGAGGGGCTCCGAGAGCTCGACCGGCAATGTTCCCTCGCTGGAAGATCAAAGAGTAGGACCTCAACCGGTTTGAGGCCGCAGTGGTTGGGGCGGTATGGGGAAACCCCATGGCCCCGGACTGGGACGCTGAAAGGGAGGCGGCGTGGCTCACCCGAACTGCCATCGACGCGTGCGACACGTCAATGCCGAGGGTTCGCGGCACAGTAGATCGCAAGTCCACCTACTGGTGGAGCGAGGAAATCGCGGACTTGCGGCGAAGGTGCGTTATGCACCGCCGCGAGTACACTCGAGCGCGTGTGCGGCTTCACCACCGACCTGGTGCAGTAGAGATGCTCCGCATAAGGCTTCGGGAGGCGCAGCGAGAACTGCGGAAGGCGATTGCCGCTGCGAAAAAGTTCACGTGGGAAGAGCTGACCGCAACCCTGGACAAGGACCCTTGGGGCATGCCCTATAAGATCGTTCTGTCCAGGCTGCGGTCAGCGGGACCCCCCACCACCGAAATGATGGAGGTCGAGGAGGTGATACGCGCGATGGAGGGTTTGTTTCCCACTCGCGACGGGGGTCCCTCGGGAGTGGATGGCCGAATCCCGTGGAGAGAAGGCTACGCCGTCACGGCGGACGAACTAAAGTCCGTCGTGCGCAAGATGGCGGGGCGAAAAACCGCACCGGGACTGGATGGTCTTATGTGCCCGGTGTGGGCACGAGTTGCGGCGTTAGCACCGGATCGCCTGATCCGGTGTTTTAACAAGTGCCTTAAAGAGGGAGCCTTCCCCGGTGTTTGGCGCCAGGCCAAACTGATCTTGATACCCAAGCCGGTACAGGCTGGAGCGGCACCGTCGTACAGTCCCATCTGCTTGCTTGCAAAACTGGGCAAGCTATTCGAGCGGGTAGTAGCCCGCCGAATTGAAGAGAGCCTGGAGAGGCGAGGTGGCCTATCGCCGGAGCAGTTTGGATTCCGTCCCAGACTATCCATGGTGGACGCTATACAGCGTTTCCAAGGCGTCGCGGAGGGATTTACGCGGAAGAGTGGACAGTGCGTGGCAATCAGTCTTGACGTGCGCAACGCATTCAATACCCTCTCGTGGGGGGCCATTCAAAGGGCCGCACGGTGATGGGGCTTCCCCGTGTATCTGTGCGCGGTGCTGGACAGTTACTTGTCCAACAGGTTTGTCCGGTTCCGTGCGCAGACGGGAAGGTTAGGTCCCACAGGGTAACCTGTGGGGTTCCGCAGGGCTCTGTCCTGGGGCCGTTACTCTGGAACGTGGGTTACGATGCGGTCCTCCGCATCCCCCTCCCGCCGGGGTGCTCGTTGGTGTGCAACGCGGACGACACCTTGGTGTTGGCCGGCGGGCGCAACGAGCGGGAGATGCTACGGCGCGTCACCGGTCAACGTTTTGTCATAAACAGATGCTCATACAGTGTTGCGGACTGATTGGTCACAGTATTGCTAAAGCAGATCTGCTTGCTATCGACCATCTATTTGTTATCAATTTCACTAACATATATGGAATCATTTTGGCCGCAATAATCTCATGTATGTGCCAACAGAGTTGTTGCGTTTTTCGTCTCTATGTGCTAACAGTTTTGGCAACACCAAAGCATGTTTCCGTACTGTAGCGTTTCTGCACACAGTTTCTGTTGCCAAGGTCTGCGCAGTCAGAAATTGTTTGCTGGGTAGTTAAAGGTCTCTATCTACTCTCTTTCTCGCTCTTCTCCTGCCGGTCACGTAGAGTGTGTTGCTCTCTTTACGCTGAAAATAAGTTACAAAATAGCCGCCGAGCGGCATATTACAATACGCAAAAATACAAACTCAAACCCAAAGTAAGCGCATTCGCCTGCGCTACGCAATCTAATGAGCTGCTCTCCCTCAAATAGTGGGGAAACGCGAGCCCATCGCCTCCTGTGCCGGAAATGCATCCTTGTGACAAACACAAAAAGTGTCACATCACAATATATATGTATATATCTTAGTTTAAAAATAATTATCAGGTATTAGAAAATATATTAAAATCATTTCCATAAAAATTAGAGTTTACAAATATGATGTAGATAGGAATATTGTTTGTAAAGCAAGAGAAGACAATGTCTTTTTCCACACTTATTATTTTTTTATAAACATACAAATATTTCTTAATCATATCGATAATTAAGTGCTGCGAGTCATATAAATTTAGTATCTCTTTACTTTCTGAGAATATTAATGTAATAAAATTGATATTTTTATAACTCATGCTGATAAAAAAATATAGTAGGTAATAGTGCACGTAAGATGCTCAGTAATGTTACGTCCTGAGCCTATGGTTACGGTCGGGCATTAGTGGTAGTACGCAACAGACGCACTGACACATTCAAGCGAACGTGAAGTCTATCCCGGCACACTGACACAAAGAAGGAAGTCAGGAATGCGCGGGTCAAGCGAGACAGTTCGGCAACGCAGACAGGGCAACGGGGTTACCCGATTTTCTCTGTCTAACGTATTCTCACTCGTCGGTTCCTTTTTAAGTCTAAGACGCGAGTCTCAATTACCAAGGACGGAATCACGCGATTTAACGAGAAATAAACGGGTTGTTAATTGAGTGTGGTTTACTAGTAGTAGTTTGTTAGTTAGACGAGATCCATAAGAGTTAAATTAATTAAAGCCGAATTTTGTTATGAAAATATTAACATAATTGTTTATTCAAATAGATTGTTAAAACAATAATAATAACTGAAGGAAAACATAAGTAGACTCCGCATGAATTTGCTTCAATTTGGCACGTACAGTTCAGGTACGACGATTCGTGTTTTATATCGATTATTATTAAAAAGATCTCCGCGTATCGTTACAAGCGTGTTGGATGTCGAGGAAGGTCGGGTGGTCAAAATGAAGTTCAGAACACGAACTTGTATTCTTATCTTTTATTTCTCCGATTACAACTCCTTCTGTATCTTACACGGCTGTATCTCACTGCGGTAAACTCTCCGGCTTGCGGAGCCACACAGTGAGCTAGCAGTCTAATCACGGTCTCCCCTCTGCTTCATCCGCGCGATCGATTTATAGTAGATCGATCGCGTTGATTTAGCAGGCCCACCGGTCCTAGCAACGGCCGTGCTAGTTACCGGTGCCGGTGTCGACACATGCTGCGTTGCACTTCGGACAATGCGGCGATGTGTCGCACCCGGTGGCAGCCAGCAGTTCTTCCTAGAACTGCTTCCTTTCTGCAACCTGCCCAGGTCATTGAGCAATGACAGTGATGTCTCATCACATTGCTCAATGGCCTCACCTTTCTTAACCTTTTCTTTACAAAAATTGGCGCACAACAAGCGGCGGAATGGTTTGTTGTAGTGACATCGAGATTATTGAGCTGGATTGAAGTTAATAGAGAATCTTAAGTCCGGAGTGGTTTTACGAGAAATCATTTCTTGTCAAAATACACTGACACTAGTTAGTTAGGAGTCGTCGGTCGGATCCGTCTCCGCAAGAGATCGTAAAATGAGAGGGTCTATTGTTCGGAAGATTCTATTTTAACATAGGCGCTGTTCATTTGACTATGAGTAGCAAATCGAGATAATTAATTAAGAGTAAATCACTATCATTGAATTGTTGTTTGGATAAATGTTCACGATTGTTATTACGGTACTCGAAATCATTACATTACGTTGTGTATCAAGAATTAGAATTGGTTGTAAAAATTGATGATCTTGACTGCTGCTCATATTGAAATGCAAAAGGTGTATGAGTCTGTATTAGTGAGACTTACAATGTACTCGGTGATATACTTTGGTGATAGCGATGCTGGAAATTGGCAGAGTTGCTCGATGATTGGTCGTAGTTGTTTCGCTTGGATTCGCGCTGCTCGGGGATGATCGCAAGGGAAGTCGGTGGCACTCTCAGCAAGTTCGACGAATGAAAAGTTTGCGAAATTTCTTTGATGCAAACTGATTGACCGATTGATTGTTAATCACTGACTCTATCGCGAAAAGCTATACTCTGAAGATCGAACTGTGTTGGAAAACTGCGTACTGATTAATGAATGCAAGAATGAAAGAATGAATGCCAGAATGAATGAATGCTCGATCGAGCATCCAGGGCTTTTATACCTGCGGGTTGATCTCCCCTTCTCTATCGTCTTTTCTCGAAATTTCGCCCCTTCGTTCGTTGACCGCCGAAGCAAAGACCTTTTCCCCTTTCGTTCGATTCTCCGGATCGATAGGATCATCGTGCGTTTAGATCTCGCTTATCGGTATGCGGCCTATCTTATTTATGTGCGAGTCGCAACTCTAGCCCCTTGATTTTCGATTTCCTTTCCAGAGTCGCGAGAGCCGCTGCGTCATGCCCAAAATTTCCGAGCGCGTAGCTTGCGTACAGAGAGTCTTTGTTCATCGCATTCCTTTCTGAGGGGCAATAACTTTTGCTCATCTATACCGGTTAGATTTTGTTTATAATATGACGTCCGGGTAGGTTTGTTTATAACATGGCACCCAGTTCGGACTTGTCTATCTTATCTCGGTTGGCCCTCGTTTCTCTTTCCAGGAATTCGTTACAAGAATTATTTCCTAGAATTATCGTTAGACTTAATAATTATATTCCGTTGCAAAATGAAAGAGCCCGTGAAGTCCAGGACGTAACAGTAATATGTGCACGTTTTTTTCTTGTTCTACTTCAGACTTTATATAATATGTAATATCACACACTCATATCAATATGTTCCAAATACATAAGTACAGTCTTTCTTTGGCAGCTTAATGCAACAGTATAAAAATAATGTTATCCTACAATCATAGACTTTACGTTCGATATTTTAACTAAAAATTATTCTCTGTTTATCTGTATACAATGTACACATAAAACAAATAAATTTGCACTTTGTATCACAAAATACATTTCTATTTTACTATCACAATGTATGTCTTAAAAATAATAAAACTCTACGTAAAAAAAAAAACCTATGAATTTTTTTTATATTAGCGTTTGTTAAAAACAACAAATTATATGTATTTTTTCTTAAAAACTAATATCAATATAGAAAACTATTTAATTTGTGTAACTTTGGTGGAAGTTTGAGATGTCTTCTTCTGTTATCATCACAAAAGATAAGGTATACCTTGTTAACAGAGATCATACTGCACAAATCAAATTAGTTTTGCTGTTTCACACTTTTCTGGTCATAGTTCTTCTGCCCATCATTGTAGTACTACTTTTGACGTTGAAATGATGTGGTTAGTATTTCTGTGGTAATGCTGAAAAAAAATATTTGATTGTAGTAATGCATTTAAAGCTTTGCCTTAAAATTATCATATATAAAGGCAAAATGTCCGGTAATAATCGCATCACCGCTTGTAGGCTAATAAAAGAGATTATACTGAATAGAAAAGTTCTGTACAACTTTGCAAGATTCGCAATAATTACCGAGATGTTCATAAATAATAATCCGCGAATGAGCATGCATCCACGAGCAAAATAAGAGCTCAGTGTTTCGCGCGGTCACGTTGTTACGCCCATGACAACAGAATAAGACAAGTATAACAAAATATATTTTACTATATATGAATTCTTCTAATTCCGTTGTCATGGGAATGACAATTCTAAGCGCGCGAAACGCTAGGCTGTTTCACGTACATAGATGCACACTTATTCGTGGATTGTTATTAATTAACATCTTGGTAATTATTGCGGGACTTGCAAAGTAATAAAAGACTTTTTGACTCAATATAATACCTTTTACCTACCCACAAACGATTACGATACTGCTATTACCCCTAATATATATGTGTATGTATATATATATATACATATATTGTATATATTAAGTAAAACAACATACTCAAGAGTACATATTTTCGGGCGTGTTCCGTTTGACCACAGTACGATT